CTGCGCCACCACTTCCCCCCCTGGAAGTAAAGAGAACCACAAAATAGCAAGAAGTTAAATGTTGGTTTTAAAAAAAAACAGTTTAAAGTATATTAGCATGATTTTGATGCAGAACTCCCCCCCAACTCAACCAACTTTCATATTAGAAGTTTACAGCAGTGCTATAGAATACACAGGGGGAAAAAATCAAATGTATTATTTTTTCCCAAGCATAGGCATAACACTGAAATACAAATTTCCCTGCATATCCATGATTTTTCTATAGGATACCAAGAAAGCACTACGATATTACAGGGTATAAATATAGACACACATGCCCTGTAGCTTCACTGTGATTTCGTCAAGATGACATCAGATAATGCAACTGGGAAAATCTAACATGGCTACCAATTGCCATGGGCAGGAGTGAGACATCTCCCATTCAGAAGCATTTGGGGGGCTTACTAGCTTGTTAGCAAAGGCAGGAGAAAACAGAACTGCCAGGTGCCATGCTGGGATGGCAGTGCCAGCACAAGGCATTGTGCGATCTCCCAACTCTTTGCATATCTTGTTACTTGTTTATTCTAAGTTCTGTTATACAAAACTTCTTGCATCTCTCTCAATCCAACCAATTTTATCAACTGATTGATTTTCCATTATTGCTTAATGTGCAAGCTAGGCAGCTTCTTGTTATCTCTCCCACAGCATTTGAGATTTCCACATCACAACCTGCAGGAAAAGAAATGTTTTTCCTCCTTTTTTTTTTTTCCTGCAATGGTTACAGTTTTACATTCTCACAAATATGGTTCAGGGACCAGTCAGGAAATTACCTGTCCATTTTCTGCCATTACAGTAAATGCTGGACAGATGTGACACAAATTTAGAGGATCCATTTGCACACCATTCACAGAGGGATCACCTACTGTAGTGAGCTGAAGACTAGTGAGTTGTCAAATAATGAAATCTTCCATGACTGTCACAATCACTTTGTGAATCATATTTTTCTCTAACCTGAACATGAATTCCAAATAAAATAAAGCCAGGGTAGAGACATAAAGGCCTGGGGAAAAAATGCACCTTCCTCCCCCATAAATATTCCCATCTCTGTTCTGGGTGGGATCTTGTCATATGTCTTCCTCCATTATCATCGCCACTCAAAAAGAGAGGGGGGAAAGGTTTTGATTAGAATACTCTAATTGTGTCTTGATCTCGGAAGTTATTTTCTGCCTCTAGTCACAAGTTTCACTGGATGCCTCTGAAAGCCTTTACTCCCAGCACTCGGAACGGTATTGATAGCTCTGTCTCTCCCTCTCCTGAGAGCAGTCAGCCTGTAGTGCTGCGTCTACTTATAAGTGCCCCAGAGATGACTGTAACTTCATATTGATCAGCTGATTGAAGATAAATGACAGAGCTGCTGGTCTTGCAGATTACATCATTAACATGGTCAGTAAACCATGAATTGTTCAATAAGGCGTTTATCTTTTTTCATTTTATTCTGCTCTTTTATCATTTTTATGATAAGGAACAGTTACACACACTAATCAGCAGGATCCATTTTAGGGAAGAGCAGTGCTGGGCAAGAGTGCCATTGTCAGAACTAAGTGAAATCTAATGGCTTCAAGATACTTAGTAAATGTTTTTTAGCTAAAAAAATATATAGGCTTCACTGATCATTTTTCTTACTCTGTTTCTCTTCCAGTTTCCTTTTGCTTCGTATTTAATGGATGCAGTGCTGGAAAAACTAAATGAACAAAAGAAGCTGGCAGAAGAATACAGTTCTCTGATGAAGCAGATGGCCTAGGAGCTAACAAACTGACTTTTAAAAAAGAAGAGGGTTTCATTTTGCACTGTGATCCAGTTCCTGGGATTGGTGCACAAGAACAGATGATCTATCACATACAGTAGCAGCTGGATTTGCTTCACTTATGTAGACTAGTTAAAATAATCAAAATAGATTCACAAATGCATGATAGATACAGAGCAAAATAAACATGGCAGGTTCATCTGACAAAATATGAAACTACCCTTAGTAGGAATTTTTTACTGTTTTTTATGTATTGTACACCCATTCATAAATACAGGTTTGCAATTTTCAGTATAAATGTTCTGAAGTTATGACATTTAATCTAGTATCAGTTTTAAAATCCCGATCATCAGTGAAATTATAGTCAATTTACTTTTTATCCAAAACATCTATTTACAAAAAAAGAAAAGTGTGATGTGAATATCAGCAATAGTATTTGGATAAATGTTAAGATCCATTCAACAGATATGGGCTATTTTTTTCAACTACAAAATAATAAGTACAAAGTATTTAAGTGTATTTTAGAAACATATCCTCCAAATAAATTATTTTGAGTTAATTTTTTAAGTGGTATATCTCTAAAATAATAGTATATGCTGTTATGAACACATTATTATTTTCTCTTTCTTTTTTTCACTCTCCTCCTGTACATTCATTTTATAAAAAACCAAAGATGGCAGTAAAACTTGCCTAGAGTAGGAATGGGAGGATTTCAGGATTAAGAGATCTACAGAAAAGTAGACAATCTGGACTATAAAATGACCCTGCACGTATACAGTATATACACACGTAACAAAATCAACACAATGCCCGGCTTCCCCATCTTTCAACCTAGTGTTGCCAATTCCAACTGAAACCAATTTGAGAGATTCCCTTCTCCGCAGTAAGTGTGTCCAGGTGACGCACTTCAGTATTTGCACAGGTGCGCGTGTACATGTACATTTGCCAGAGCCATGCTCCCCCAAATGGGTAGGGAGTGATAACTTTAACTGAATTAATAATTACTTATTAAAATTAATTGCCTATTTATAACATTAATTGATCCCAGTGTACCAACTATTCTTGCTCACATTCAGAAATTACTGTCACCCCTAGAAACTCATAAGTACACAACCATTCTCCTCTCTCATCTTCCAGCAGAACACAGGCTGGAGATGGGGTGAGGCTGGAGATGGGGTGAAGTAGAGAAATGGAAGGAACAAAATTGGAATGGTGTCAGATGAAGGAAAAAGGTTACTAAAGGACAGAAAAAGAGAGAGCCCTGTTTAGACATTACAAACCTGTTCCCTTTACCTGGAAATAGAAAAATGGGTGGGAGGAGAAATTATACCATTATGGCTTTTCCTGGAGCCGTCTTCAGTTCGCCATTTCTTCCTCCAAAAGCCACCATACCAAAATTCCAAAAGAGCTCTGACCTTGGACACTGTAATGACCTGCAAACTGCAGTCCTAGAAGAAGGATTCCATAAAATCCTATATAATGAACACTTTTCTCACTGTAAGTCAGAAGCCATTGAAACAATACCTCACATGCTTCAATACTGTCAATCCTACTGGTGACAGGAAAGGTATGGGTCAAGCGCATACATGATGGGATTCAAGGCCCTGCCTTGCTCATTGCTGTGATCTCTGCCTGAGATCTACCTCAATGCTTACAAGCAACTTTATCCACAAAGAAACCAGCAAATTCATCTGGCATGCTTGTAGGCATGATATCCCACTCAGCATTCCCTGAATAGAGCCACCAGTACTGATCTGAGATACAATAAGCAGGGAGAAGAATTGACACTTTGATACTCTTATTACCACAGTGTAGGCTCAAACAAATTATACTAGTGCTTGGTCATGTTCATTCCTTGTTTTTCACTATTTCACTGTAAGTATCTTTGTGATTGTTTCATCTCCCTTAGATCCTTGGTAAACCATGGAGCTGCTTGGGATCATTGATTGGGAGAAGTCTTTCAGAAGCAATTTTGGCTGTCTCCTTAGTCCAGAAGTCAATTGCCTTCTAGAATTCATCCAGATACACTAGACATTAGGGTGGAACAATCTCAATGGCCCCCTTCATGGTTCACTGCCTTGTTGTGGCGAAGGGGCTTGCGTAACTCAGTGAAGCCATGAGCTATACCGTG